TCTGGGTGTCTATTCAAACATGATATCATAGAAAATATATAAAGTCATGTCTTTTTTCTTTTTTTAGCATTTGGCTTGATAAGTTACCTCCCTTGCACTGGCGATTCCTCTTGTCAATTATTTTTTGTCTTAACAAAGATTTCCAAGGTGTTTGTGAATTGAAATGACTGACCCCAAGAATTAGCTGAGGACAATGACAATAACTCAGAGATTTAAGATGCTGACATTTTTTATTACACAAATGAAGTAACATATGTGACTATAAAATATGCAGTTTCAGTCAACAAATACAATTTATTGTTTTCATTTTCATACCAAGTGACATCGTTTTTATCTATGCAGCAGAAGAAAAGCCCAAAACAAAAAAGAACAGAATTTACACATCAGCTTCATTCATTGGTTTTTCCAACTTCCAACTTATCAAAATATGAGTGTTAATTATAACAATACAATTACCTCTGAGATGAGGTATTTTAACTATTCACATCATTTAGACTGTTGTCCTCATCTTTATTGCTATATTCACAATATTTCGGCCATTGTACACTCTGGCCTTCTTCAGCATATGTGCTAATTTCTGAAGTAGTTGTATTTTCCAGTGATTTTCTCTGTGGGATGAAGTTAAAATAATAGACAGAGGGCAGTAATCTCCCTTTTCCCTCCATATATGGTCAGCCATGCCTGATTTTTTTTATTTGCCCTCATATTATGGCCTTATAGTGTTCCTGTAGTCTTATCTTAAGGGATCAGCCTTTCTCCTTTAAATTTCTTGCCACAGCTGTATGGGATAGTGTATACACAGTCCTTACTTATGTTCTCCTCTATGAAGACACGTCTGTATAGTTGAATCGCTATTGAAAGTTGTCCTCATGTCATATGGAGCACAGATCTTTTGTATCTTTTCCAATAAGCCCTTCACATAGGGTAGGGAGAATGATGCTGTTTTCTGAGTATTATCTTGTACCCTGCTATCCCAGTTTATGAGGGCTGCTGTCGTGTACCCAGGGTAGTTGTTATGTTGTAGGGTACTGCTTATACTTACCATTTCTTCTTCACATGTCTCTGGATTGTCACATATGACTTTTGCTTGATGTTTTAAGATAAGACTGTAGGAACATTGTAAGACCATAAGATGAGGGAGAACAGGAAAATCTAAGGTACAAAAATCTCTTAAGCCGGCCAAACATAGACATGAATACGATATGGGAACCAGTAATACAGAGAGCTAGAGAAAAAACAATAACCAAAAAATTGTAATATGAGTTCTGGTAAAAAAAAAATGTATACTGTTAGTTTAGGTTTATAAGTTCCAAAAATTCACTCATGTCCCAAAGCATTGGTTGAGTGATCTAAGAAGTGACTTGACCCAAAGAGTTGTGAGTTCAATACCTGGTCACAGCAGAGGGAACAAAAACTTGGAGAGTTGAGTTACTCAAGGGAGATAACTGAGACTGAGAAATCCAAAAAAGGCAGAAGGATAATCTCATTCCTGTGCACTAAATAAAAGATTCGGTTCAAAATTCCACCGTATATCATCTGAAGAAGGTTAGAGCATACAACAAACTGAAATATGATTGAATATGGCAATAAAGTGTGGTGAACAGCCCCGTGGAAGCAAGCGAGCCAGAGTGGCTTGCATCTGGTGCATAGGAAAACAAGGGTCTTACCTTAATGTGACATCAGCAAGTTTGCTTTGTGAAAATGGCATTACTCTCTCGTCCAGCCATTCTAGCAGTATGTGCAATGATGAGGGTTTTTTTGTACAGTTTGGAATGCTTCCACCAATAGCAAGTCGTGTGCTGATTGGTCGAACTGGAGGAGGCAATTTGCCTGTGTAACCAAGAATAACAGCAAAGAATGCTGATTGGCTGGGGAACCGCAGTGTTGGCCTGATAAAAGAGTGCTGGAGCCGTGAAAAAGGGAACAGAAATGTTGGCTATATGTAGTGACGTGTGAAGAAAATGAGGACGGTGAATTGAACCAGCGATATTGTGATTTGTACAAGTGACATTGGGAGAGCAATAGACTTATTTAAGCTACAAGGTAACAGTATGAAGGAGGTAAATAGTGCAAACAATTCAAAATTAAAAAAAAAAAATCAAGAATTCTGCCACTTGATATGAATAACAGTTTATCTCGCTAATACACAAAATGATTGAAAAGTAACTCCCTATTTTATGTATGATGGACTTGTAAAAATTATAGTAAGACAGGAGAGTCCATTATACATAAAATAGAGAGTTACTTTCCAATCACCTGGTAGATCTTGAGAAATAAAATTCTTTTTCTCATGATGCTTGATCATTGACTAAATTGCAGTTTCATAGGAAAGGCTTTTGGAGTAATTTCTGAGGGTAATATCTGAAACCAGGGTACCAAAGATTGTCTAATATTGCATTCAACCTTATTCTGACAACTCCTGTGACAACATTGGTGCCAAGCTGTGTTATTGGTCCCTGCTTTTCCCTTGGACAATAACACTGGTGGTGTGGGTAGTAGAGACGTGTTGTTTGGGAAACTGCCAGTCTCACATAGAAAAAAAAAATCTTTGCCAGGCCTGCACACAAAAAAGCACTCTACCTGTGCTAAAACACACACACACACACACACACACACACATATATATATAAGTGAACATTGAAGTCAACACTTAGAGGCGACAGTCTGTTTCATGCTAGGCATAATCGTCAGGCCTGACGATTGTGTCTAGCATGAAACAGACTGTCGTCTCTAAGTGTTGACTTCTATGTTCACTTTTATATTTACACACTCTCTATCTCTGATATTGAGCACTTTATCCCATAAATATAGCACATTTTAAGACTATATTTCTTCATATATATATATATATATATATATATATATATATATGAATGAATGGGAAGAGGAAATGCTGAAAATGTATGAATTCTAAACTTTAAATTACTGGTGTGTGATGTTTCTAGACGTATGACTTAGCCAACTTCATTCAAATTGCAATGCTTCTGTTTTTAGCACTATTGTATTTTAAATATCCCACATTATAACAGCCATGTATTTTTTAGGAGGAAAGGTAAAATGTAATATGAACCTGGATGTAAATTTACCATCAAAGACTCAGAAATCAGTGCACATTCTATGCATTTTTACCTCAGTAAATTACTTCCTCCCTGGATTCAAAGTATATTTAAGTCAAAGTTATGGTCAGATTCCTTTTCACAAACAGCAAATGTAGTGATTATGTTGTTTTGTAAAAGATCCGCATAACTTGTTGCACAAGAATCAATGAGTAGTTATTGTGAAAGGAGGAAACAGTGAAAGCATTTGGAACACTGTAGCTAGAGAGGAATAAACACATTCAAATGTAGTTTCTGTCCTCTTTTGCCATCATGTTATCCAGTACAACCTGCCCCCCCCCCCCTAACTTATCTGCTGGCAAGGAGAGTGGCAAGCCACTCCAGAGGACAAAAAACAGGACCAGTCAATGAGTGGATGAGCTTCGTATAGGAGCCAATGGCCAACATGTATATAAGGTTAGGATGGTGTCTCAAGCTTTGAATGGCAATGTTCCTAGAAATGGTGTCACACTTAGTGTATTTTGACCACGGTGAGTGTCTGAGTTGGGTGTCAGGAAGAGCCTTGTAAAATCTTGCCTAAAATCATGATGATAGAGGTGTGAGAGTTTAAGCCTGATTCTGTCTCAACAAAAGAAACATATCTATGCATGTGCATGTATGTATATATGTATATATATATATATCAAAATTAATGGATTAGATTAAAGCAAATCTGAATTGTGTGGAAATATAGTCACTATCGATGTTGTTTGGTTGTGCTAAGCGTTGAGCAGATTCCAATATTTACAAAAGCTTTGTGTTAAGGACTTTCTTTTCTGATTAAAGTAGGTTTTCTTTTCACAACAGATTCACTAATAAAATTTAACATGTTTTAAAAAAAAAAAAAAAAGATTTTAGCCATGATTTTCTTGTACTAAAGTTCATCCAATACAAGGCACAAGAGCCACTTAAGATAGAGTATTACTGTTAAAATGAAGAATGTGACATAAATGAAGGAAATGGTAAGAAGTGAATATTACGAAGATAGATAATGATTGACTCTTGACTTGAAGAGGTTAAGATCATATTATTCAGGGAAGCATCCAGGTGGGAGTCTGTTCCACAAAGTGACAGTTCTTGGGAAAAAGCTGTTTGAGTGGAACTTTTTCCTTAGATTTGGAATATGGGGGAAATGAGGGTGATTCGATGCTGTGGTTTTAAATCTTATATTTTGTAACTCTCTTGAAGAAAAAAAAACAATGCTCATCTTTGTTGTCCTTATCCCAATGTTTCTTTAGCAATGGAGCATATAAATAAATTCCATTTGAGGTCAAAGGTAAAATTGAGTCCCAGTAGACATTCAAGGTAAGGAGCCTCATTCAGATTATAATCGTTCATTGTGACAAGAGAAAATTCAAGGTGTGAGCAAACCACCATGGAATGTTACTCCATTGTTTACCTATCATAACTGGTGTCTATTTTTCATATCTGAATCAGTTGGTTGCTTCTCCTTTACTTTTTGTGAATGGAGTATAATCCAGTAAAACTGTTGCTGATAGTGAGCTGTAAAAACTTGGCCTTAAAAACCTCAACTGACATCCATGTCAAAGGGAATCAACATAACATTTCATGTCAATCAAAGAAATTTTGACAGAAGTAACAAGAAATAATTAAGGATAAATTATATAAGTTTTTATATATATATATATATATATATATAAATATATATATAAAATGTTTATTTATAACAGATATAAAAAGAAAACATAAAAATTTCTGCAAGGAATATTATTGTGTCAATCATATGTACAGACAAATAATAAAAAATGTCGGCTCAACAAGTGTAAAATATAAAAGCAGTTTAACAGAAATGCAGTTTCTTTTCGTTGGATGTGAATTTCAGCAGCACTGAAATAAAAGTTTGTTTCATTTTGTTGTTGCTAAATGGCTGATGTTAATGTGTCATTAAGTTGTGAGCGGATTTGACCAAATGACTCTGCCATCGGCTTCTGTCCTTATCATTGACCCAAAGAAAGCATTTTGATGAGAAAGATTCTGAAGTAAGAAGAAAAGAGGAAAATTCACAACCAGAAATTAAGACTGAACTAAAAATGGTCAATAAATCAAGTGACATTTAATTTCACAATCTTTAAAAATAATCAAGGAAAAAAAACAAAGTGGTTGATGGACTGAAAAATTGTTTCCAAAACTGTTCAGTAAATCCCTGAAAATATGGACACTGGATAGATGTCAAAATATCTAGTGAATGACATAAATAAGAAATATATTTTTGTTTTTTTTGACAGGGGTTGGGGAGTAATAATTGGAAAGGGGGTCAGAATTTTTCTCAATATAAAAATACGAGGCCAGAAAATAATTTAAATGGTCAAAAAGGGTTAAATTTAAACAGGTGGTCTTAATAAGCAAAACAACCCCTCCAAAATCCCCCCCCCAACTTCTATTAGGCACCTAAAAGAATATTAAGAATAAATAAACATACTAAGTAGGTGCCTTGCCATGGAGTCATGATTAATTATCTGATCTCTAAGGCTATTTCTGCTTCTTTACCCTACAAATGTGACCTTGTACCAAACAAGTTTAAGCTAGTAAATATAATACAGGAAGGCTATCTTGCCATGGAGCAAAGATTAGTAAGCTTGTTTCTTCAGATATTTTTTTTCTTTTTTACTGTACAAGGCCTGGGTACCAGATGCAGTTTATGCAGATAGAAGGGGTAGATCACGGTTAACACTAGACTGCAACAGGTTATAATGATTAGGGAAAGATCCACTTACTGATGAAGAGAGTTCCATCCTCAATAGATGCCACCAGTAGAAGACAGAGTCTAAAAATATTAGTTGCCAGGAGAAAAAGGGGGCCCACACACAACTACAGAGCTGTATTTGCATAATGATTAAATAAAATTGACAAAAATACATAAAAGGGTACAATTTGATTTTTTGTGGGGAAAAAAGGTGTATTTCTTAGGAATTACAGCATCCATGTACTGTATGCATTCTAGCTGTAGATTCTAACTTTAAATAGAGAATGTTATGAAATTTTATTTATTTTTTAATTTTAATTGGTTGATATTTTAAAATAATTTATTGCACAATTAACACATTAACAACTCATTCAAAAGTACCATAGAGCATTGTACTATAGTAAAAAGCAATCATCTGTATTCATTGGATGATTGTGCGAATCTGACAATAGTTGCTTCTGCATCCAATTCATCTAACAATTCCTTTTCAATGGATAACATGTAGGATTCCAAATTCTAAGGCAGTGAATTTCTTAACTTTGTCTTTATGATCTTTAGTCTTGAAAATGTATTTTCACATTAGATTTGAGAGTAAAATGATAGTATGCAGACAACTTTATCAAATTCTTATTCCTTTTTATTACTGAAACCGTTTCATGTGTTTGTTTCTTTATTGCATTTTTATTTGACATAGGGATCCCACTCCAGATAAACTGGCATTGTGGCGAGTTTGCAACTGGATGCATCACAATTTGTGGCCTTTTGTCAGATTAAGATAAGATAGAAATAAAATACATAAAAAGGGAAGAAAAAAAAAACAGGGGACACAAAAGTAAATTTAAAGCTATTTCTCCAAGTTTAAAAAGACTGACTTCACAGTCAAACATATTTATTAAATTGTAATTTCATTACTTTTCATAAATTTACATAAGGCTAAATTTTGTCTGTGTGTCCCCACCTTACTCCAATTGAACAAAGCAACTTATATGGAATTTTCTTTTAGCTTTTTAAATATATTACTAACAAATTTTGCATACAACAGAAGTGGTAACATTTAATTTGCATAAATATTTATTAAAACCCTATTTAAATAAATATTTATTACATTATTTAATTTTAATTGAAATTTTAAAAATTAAGTAATGTTTTTATCAAAAAAGTATTTTTTTAAATTCATTGTTTTTGTTTAGAAATATCAGCATGTTACATTTAAAGAAAACAAATGCAATCAGTTTCTTTAAATTTTAATTTAAAAGTAAACTAAGTAAATAATTTTAAACATTAACATTTTTATGGATTTCTATATTTTTTGTCAGGTAACATTAGTTATGATCTTATTTCCTGCAGCATTCATAATAAGCATTGTTGTTGTCTGCTATTCCATATTACCACAAACTAAGTGGAGCTGAGAAAAATTTATGGAATTATCTAAATAAGTCAAAATACTCTGTTTAATTAGATTTTCTTAAAACTACTGAATTATTTAAACAAGTTAAAAAAAAAGAAAGTTTGCTGAATTAATTATTATTATTATTAATATAAACATTAGAAAATGATTCAAATGTCTCTCTTATGGTCAGTGCTATGTCCAGTGGAGGCACATGCAAGTGAACTTAACATAATAATAAACACAATTTTAGAAAATGTCTTACAAAAAAAAATGTTCATACAAAAATTTTATAGGCAAAACAGAACTTAATTTTCTCTGTCCATGGGATGGGTATTTGGTTTGTTTTTTTAAACAAACTTTTTGGAAATCAGGTATATATTCAGATTAAATTTAGACTTTTTCTGATTAAATAGCATTTTAACTACATCTTTAGATGTTTACTCAGGCAAACTGGGAAACAAGTGCCCCAAGGCCTGTGCCCCCCCCTTCAAGGGCTTATAACAAAAAAGGAAAGAAAGGATACATTAATTAAATTTAAAATAGTCTTGATCTCCACCTCTTGAATTTGTGCTGAGGCATTTCAAATGAGCTAATTTTGACATATTGTGGAAAAATCTTATTAACTTTATACAAGGATAAATAAATAAATAACCCCCTTTACATACAATACAGCTGCAAGGGAATTGAAGGGGCAGCCCTGTGCTTACCTGTAGGTTTTTAATAAATTCATGAGTAGCTGCCAAAAGATATTCTAATTGTTCACTCTCCAGACACAGGATTCGTTCATCACATGTGGTGTTGTTCATCGAATCAGTAAAACACGTTATAATGTATGTCAGACTAGGTTCAGAAGGTTGTAACGACCATTGTTTTATATGTTTCCAACATATAGTTGCAATATGATTTTCTAGAAAATAAAACCAAAAAATATTTCATACTTCTAACAGTCCAATATATACATATAACAAATATGCATATTATTGTTCACCACTAGCATGACTTTGCTAGCAGTTAAGGATAATATATATATTTATTAATATATTCTTAATAGCTCTGTTATATTACATTGAACACTGTTTTATTAACACCCGCATTCTGCATGTGAGATATACATACACACACACACACACAGATATATATATCTGTAAGTGGACATTGAGGTCAACACCAATTAGCAACAGTCTGTTTACTGCATCAGGCAATGTTTGTTGTGTTTCGATTTGGCTATATATGCTAGCCAATGGTGCATTATGGGTAGTGAAGTCTATTGTATTACTGTAACAGTTATTTGGTGAGTGGTAACAGTTATGTTTCAAATTATTGTAGAGGAAATGGAATCAAAATAATTGGACTGTGGATCCAAATGCAGTTCTTTGTAGCTAAAATCACAAATAATTAAATGTACTAATAATCAATGACAAATAAATAATGATTAAAAGTGTCCCAAATAACCACATTCGGATATACAATTATTTCTACTCAATAGGCTCTAGAATCATTTGAAACATAACTGTTATTGCTTATCCCAATAACCATTAGGATAATACAATAGATCTTATTACCCATAATGCACCATTGACCAGCACATAAAGTTGAACCAAAAACACAACACACACGGCCTGAAGATTGCATTCAAGCATGAAACAGACTGTCGCCACTCTATGTTGACTTCAGTGTCCACTTTTATATTTAGATATACTCTATCTCTGATAGTGAGAACTTCAACCAATAAATATAACAGACCTTAAAAAAATTATATATATATATATATATATATATATATATATATATATATGATTATTATAATTTTTATTATAATATTATGCTCTACTGTTGTATTGAGTACTGTTTTTTAAAAATAAAAATAAATGCTAAGAACTCTGAATTATAAATATCATTGTTCTTTCCTATTGTAAAAACCCTAAAAACTGCCCGTTGGAAAATAAATGCCTCACAAAATCCGTGGTATACCAATGCACTATCTCATCCATTGAGAGTCCTAACACTGATAGGATATACATAGGCTCAACAAAGAATAATTTTAAAATTAGATGGAGGCAACACAAAAGCTCCTTCAACAATATTCAAAATAGAAATCAGACATCTCTATCCCAATATTTCTGACATCTAAAAGAAACAAATAAAACACCAAAAGTAAAATGGAAAATAGTAAATAAAACAAGAACTTGTAAAACCTGGGATGACCCATGCCCTTTATGCCTACAGGAAAAACTACACATCATTAAATTTCTAAATAATGAAAAATTATTAAACAATAGGCAGGAGTTAACGGTTTTTTGCCAACATCAACAAACTTTCGCATTAAATAATTAGCATAAAAAAAAAAAAAATCCCATAGCTAAATAAAAGTCTTAAAAGCTTAGCCAAATGATTAAATAGGAAAAACCCTTTTTGTAGTCGAAAAAAAAAAAAAAAAAAAAAAAAAAATTGAAATTCAGTGCAATACGATTTGAATATAAAACACCCACTTAAATAAACAAATAAATAAATAAATAATCAGATGGACAATAATAAAAGACAATTCTCCAGACACATAACAACTTGTAGGCGCGCCATAAAAATATCAATCACTGGGAACCAACTAAAGGGTGACCGCAAACATTAGCCTTGAAATAGATACCCTGCACAACCTTAGCAAAACCTCTCAGAAGATGGTGAATCTATTGATAAAAATTAACTCTCTGACCACTTAACGAAGGAAAATAGTCTAGCCACTCCCACAATAATGAATTCTGTAAAGGACCATGCCTAAAAATACACGTAAACCGAGAGATAGCTTATTCCTAAAATTTCGCTTAAAGATGAAACGGGACTAAACACCACAATTCAACTTAATTTTAATAATTATTTGGATGGTTTCGGCTCTCGTTTTTGAAACATGAGAACTTTTATGTAGCGAAGGAATCATATTTTTAAACAAAAAATATTATTATAATAAAGCTCTACTTCTGTATGGAGCACTGTCTTCTTAAAAATAAAAACAAAAATACTAAGGAACACCGGATTATGCACCCAACGTGTTCTTTTCTATTTTCTGCATACCTGCGCACTTATACTTATATATTCCCTGGAGCTTGATAATACTAAAACGTTTGATAAAAAAATACATACATACATACATATATATATATATATATATAAATAAATAAATAAAAAGAAAGAACAGTCAGATTTATAATCCACAGTTCTTTGGCATTTATTTTTAAAACTAGTCTTTGACAGCAGAGCATAATATTATATTATTAGTATTTAAAAATAATAAACTTTAATTTTAAGTTTAATTTAAAGTTTAGTTTTTTTTAGTTCAAACATAGTGATTTCTGTGTCACAGTGAATACATATTTTTTAAATAATGATAATAATATATATATATATATATATATATATATATATATATATATATATATATATATATATTTGCCACTGTTGATCACCCAATATAAGGCCCAAGAGCCACCCAAGATAGAAGGTTGTCTGGATGTAAAGGCAGGAAATAAGAAGTGCACATTATATGGCTAGGTAGGATATATAACAGTTGACCCTAGACATGAAGAGGTTAAGATTGTAGCAATTGTGAAAAATCCACATGGAATCTGTTTGGCAATATAGCTGTTCTCTGGGAAGATGTCCAAAAGGAACAAACTTCTTGCCAATGGAATATAAAGAGAATGATGAGGGTGATTCTATCTGGGACTTGTGGATCTTTGTTGTAAAAAGTCTGAAGTTGTGGAATTCAGGAATGGATCTCATCAGAAGAGTTTCCACACAAATATCAATAGAATACTGATAGGTTTTGTCAAGTTTCGTCTGTGAGAAAGAGGTTGTAGGGTGGCAAAAAAAAAAAAAATAATAATAATAAATAATTACCTACAAAGGCCATGTGAATGTGTTTGAATTCTGCCAAAGCCAGAAAGAGAACATTGGGCAGCTCAAGGCCAGATATGGTAGCAATGCTCCATATCTGGTCTGACCTGACTATTGTAAAAATAGAGTATAGAAAATGGTGCCAGGTACTTTTCTTGAGCTATATAAAGGTGTTTCTAGCATCTTTAGTGATGGATTGCATAAATGAATTCCCCTTGTGGTCTTGGGTGAACTTCAGCCCCAGAAGACACTCAAAGTAAAAAGCCACTTTGAGAGTGCAACAATTTATTATGACTGGAGAGAAGTTAGGGTAAGCTTGATGAAAAGTTGCTTGCTTGGTTTAAAAAGATGATGATGATGATGAAAGAGTTTAAAAAAAGAAAAAAAAGAAAAGAAAAAGTTATCTTGTAATAAATTGGGACATTTTTTTTCCCCCTGACAAGGTGATTATCATAGAGAGGTCAGTAAGAAAATCTCACCTGTAGTGATTGCTAAGTCATTTTTGGACAAGGACACTTTACACACACAGTTCATGGTATTCTGGAAGAGAAAATGGCTTTTGGAAGGTTTCAAAAAGATGGAGATATTTTCTTTTTACTGAAGTGAAATGATGTGAGAATTATTTCAAATGTTTTACTATATATATGTGTATATATATTATATGCATTGTTTTTTAACTGGATTATATTTTTATGTTAATTTTAAAATCTTTATGATAAAATTACATGATTATTCAGAAAATTCTTAACTATACATTATCTTTAATTTTAAATGCCCGTTTTCTTTCTTTTTAATGTATACATAAGTATCAGAATCATAGGCCAGACAGAATATTTCGATGACACACATAACCATCTTTCATTGATTTCCCCTTCCTTTCTTTTGTTTTTTCCTTTTTCTCTTTTTTTTTCTCCTTTTCATGTGTCTTTAACTATCACAATTGAAGTATCCATGTTTTCCGTAGTCTGTATTTTAAATTAGGTCAACAAATCGAAAGTCAGTTTTTCCAACTGAAAATAACTTCTATTTGTCTCAATCTAAATTTTTTTTAAATTTTCTTTATTACCTCCTCTCTCTGAATGATTTCATCTTCCATTCCACAATCTCACATACTGTTGTAATCTAGGGAAGGTTACTGAATAATCACATGAAAGTTGGTAATAAATGATAATACTTAGGACAAGAACAACACATATAAGATTCACCAGCGATGCATAGAAGAAGTAGTCAACTGATAGAAGTGAGTCAAGTGAATTCCACAATGAATCTCCAACTGCAGACTAACATACAGTATTTACTACTGTATTTATATGAATGGGGACATACCCATTATCGCCCGTAGGTATGCTACAACACACATAGTTTTTTCCTCTCTTTCTATGTCTTTATTTCCACCCCCTCTCTCTTAAACTTACTTATGCATCTTTCTTTCCAACTCCCCCCTACCACTTTCAGGTACAGAACTTTTTACATAAATTTAAATCTGGAGAAATATTTTCTGTTTCCTTTTGGATTTGAAGGTCTGATGAATTGGGGCCGTTTTTACGACCCTAATGAAATAAATATAACCTCATGAAATTCAAAGAGTTTGTGCCTTTTATAATACATTTTTATATATATATATATATATATATATTCTCTCAACTCTCCCATCAAATTCGACGTATGAGGGTCAAGCAGATCAGTTCCTAGGAACCAACAGCCTGACACCAGCACATAAAATTTGATTATAGTGGTGAAGGTTGAGTGCAGAACCATCCATACTTTTTGAAGGGCCAAATACAGAGACCTGGTGAACTACGTGCCACAAAGACCCAAATGATCCTCTGCAGGTTTTGAATTCAGAGTTGTCCTTCTCCTAGACCAGTTGCCATCCAAGGCTATGGAACCCAGTCTGTCCTGCTATTTACCCATACCTGGAGGGAGAAGAAGAGGATTAATACTTTTCCCAAGTATATTAGGACATAAGTGAATGTAATGGATTCGAATGGAATTTGAACTTGGCTCTCCGATTCCTCAATCCAAGCCGCTAACCATTATCCACTGTGTCTCATATATATATATATATATATATATATACACACACAAAAAATAACCACACTCTGCATTTTTTTTACTGTTGATCATCCAATACAAGGCCCAAGAGCCCTTCAAGGTCGAGAGTTACTTAATGCGGTTGTATGAATTTTATTATCATCTGTAAAATCTAAACTTATCTATGGTTGACCTGATCAGCAAAACATATTAAAGCAGGGGTTTCCAACCTTTTTTTTTTTCATGCCTCACACCCTAGGAAAGGCATACTCAAGGCATACTGGAAACTGGTTAAATGAAAACATGCCCTTCAAGGACATAAGCGTCTCTGTCAGAGACCACATGAACTGCTGTAGGTGTGGCCACTCTAGGTCAGCAACCTTTGCTTTAAACTAAAAGTAATTTGAAAATAATATTTCAAAAAGAATAAAATATAAGCAAAAATAAACACAGGTATAAATCTAATACTATTGTTAGTATTATTAATAATACTATTATTAGCAATAATACTTATGCTATTATTATTAGTATTATTAGTAATAATATTTATTATTAGTAGTAATAATACTAATATTATTATTATTAGTAGTAGTAGTAGTAGTAGTAATGATGAAGTATTTAAAAAGATAATCAATTTAAATGTTATAAAATCCATGAGAATCTTAGTCATCAGATAAATAGTGAATTAATTTGAACTTCTCTTTCAGTTAAATTTCTAGAGGGAAGACACACAAATAGAAGATTTTTCCCAACTGACAGAAACGTATTGCATTGGAAAACATTAAAATTTAATGATATTCTTAAAATTGAATATCAATTTCCCAGTAAAATATTTCTGAACATGCTTTCTATATATCATTTGATATTATCCTAAAACATCTATGAAGAACTTATCGATTGTAGATAATAAAGTGTGACTGTAATTTGTTTATCAGATATCTTCTCTATCTTTTTGCCACACACCTGGTATTCAGCAGGTGAAAATCACCTTAACTGCTGAGGCTGCTTTTATGGCAAAATCATTCCTAAGAAAAGCCCCAAAATAAAATATGGATTCCAGCAGATATGGATAATCTCACCAGAACTAATATTACTTCTAGATGAATGCAAAAACTGAATTTAAAACCAGCCTTCAGAGGGATGGGCTCCACCAAGTTATTCTGCCCTAGACACATTCACTGCTGCTATGGCTGCACTACATGCATTGCCCTTATGAACCTAGCAGGTTATGAGATATGATGCATACATATTAACTCCTACCTATACCAATAAACATGTTTATTTAGGTGCACACACATTCAGATTTTTACCAAATATGTTAAAAAAGAAAACAAATAAATAATAAAAACTATTTCAAACAATTCTATTCTGCCAATGCAATGAAAAAAAAAATCTAGTTTTAAATTTTCACAGATGAAAAAAAGTTTCAGGTGCAAAACTAGCATGAGTTGATTAGCAAATGTCCATACCGGGAAAAGAGTTGAGTTTTCGTTGAGTAAACAATTGTCCACATTGACTATGTAGTAACCAGGAAGACGACGACATAACTGGATGAAGGCAGGTTTGGAGGGCCGAGCAGAACATGAAAGCTCTACAAGAAAGAACATGGAAATGTCAATTTTTTAAAAATTCCTTTCTGTGTAAAAATGGAAGTAACTGACTGCTAAAAATAATCATTGTTTCAAAAAGACAAACCTTTTGAAAAGTTTGTATATAAAATTATGACTTCAAGGTTAGAAACATTTATGGTCTGTTACCAATATTAAAACTTGAAATTATTTTTAATACTAAAGTTCAACCAATACAAAACTCAAGAGGCACTCAAGGTAGAGAGTTATAAAATGAGGTGTGGGATATAAATGTAAGAAAACGTGTTAGGAAGTGAAGATTATGAGGATAAGGGAGGTAACAATTGACCCTTGATTTGAAGATTTTAACCCGTTGGCTGCCAAGCCTCATTCTCTCTTGTTGCCCCAGGGTCCCAACACTTATATCTTAATTAGTTTTGGTACAAGAGACTTTGTTTTGTTTGATAGATGAAGTAAGGATATCATAGGTAGTATTTATTACCCCTGATCCACCAGTGTCACTCAGTACCTGAGTCCATTTTACAACTTAGAGTCCCACATGAATTCATGGTACAGCTCAGTGTATGTAAAAATTTAAAAAAATGAAACCCAAAAAAACAACAGTAGAAATTCCAAAAGGAAAACAAAATAAAAGCCAAAAAAAATAAAAAATATTAAAATTTTTTTTTTTTAAAACAAAGTGGTTCTGGTGTACTATAATTTCATAAGCAATCAATCATAACATCCCACTCCCAATAATCCTTATAGAAAAGAAATTGGAAAAACAACCTGCCAGAGGGTTTTTTGGGCCTTGCAGACATATCACCACATCCCTCTGGTTGGTCGTGTGGGAGCCAATGTGTTAAGATTCTAGTGTTAAGGAAAGCATCCATGTGGGAGCCTCTTCCACAAAGTAGCAGTTCTTGGTGAAATAGGGATCTGAGTGGAATTCACTCCTTACATTTGGAATGAAATCTGTTGCAGTTCTAAGACAAAAATTGAAAGAACAGTTTGAAGGGAAGGTAAGCTCCATAAATTAATGATGATACCCTAGTAGATTCAAGTGTTGGTTCATAAATTTGGTCACATAGTAATTGCGAGTTCAATTCTTGGACCAGGCAGGATAGATATTAAAATCTAAAAGTTATACAAAATATTGCCTGTATAAATATATTCTGAAAATGTTACTTACATTTGTTGATAATACGAATTTCACTTGCATAATAAAATCAAGCATTATGTTCAATAAGCTTATTCTATCAGTAATATTTGCATTCATTCATGACCACTGACAATACTTTTCTTCCTGATGGTCAACATACAGAATGAGTGCTGAAACTGGTTAAAAAAAATGACTAATTGTTTTTTTGTCCACTATTGCTAAAAATAGTTTGATATTTCAGAAGGTGACTAAAGTTGAGGAGTAAAGGTAAAGTCATTGGGCTTAAACCTTGCTAATATCTGCTGGTTTAAAATGTAGTCAACAGTTAAAAAATACAGTCATTATTCTAATGACTTTTCATCCCTGGTACTTTGATTGCATGAATTTAAGTGTACGACTAGATTAACAATTTGGTCTCACCATTTTACAGTTGAAATAACACCACGTAACCGTAAGTTCTATTCTAATAGTGTCTTCTCTTTGTACTTCTTGCCAGTTGAACTCTCTTTTAGTTTCTTATTTCCCTGCCACCTACAATCTTCAAAAATTTAATTGTAACATCAATCACCATCTTTTGTTTTCCTGACTCTTGTTCTTTTTATTATCCTTTCTCCTCATTAGCGTCTTCTCTTTTTTTATTTCATTTTCAGTTACCCCTTGCATCTTAGTGGCATTATCACCTTGCTTGGGGCGAAATGATTGAAAAAATAATTATTTACTAATATTGTTTTATATTAGTAGGACTAGTTTTTCTTAATTTTATTGGTATCTTTAACAATTGGGTTTTCACGTTGAGGTACTAGTCCCATATTCAACATGTTTTTCGATTCAGAGTTGTCTTTTTTCTAGATTGGGTGTCAAGCAAAGCTAGAAAGTACCGTCTGCCATACTATTTAATCCATAGCTGGGGGAGATATGATAGATTCATACTTTTTCAAGAATTGTGTGAAAGCGAATGCAGTGATCTCAGTTGGAATTGGAACTTGACATGTCAATCCAGTGATGATTTTTTTTTTTTACTAATCTTCCCTCTATACAAGGCCCAAGAGCCACTTGAAAGGAGTTTGTTGTGTGAGCAGTAAGAGGATGTGTGGGAAAGATAATAGTTAACCCTAGATTTGAGCAGAGGTTAAAATTGCAGTGATTTGGAATTCATTCTCCTTTGGAATCAGTTCCACAAAGTAGCAGTTTGTTGGAAGAAGCTGTACAATTGGAACTTACTCTTCTCACTAATGGGATATATAAAGGAAACATGAGGGGTGGGGTTAGCTTCAGTGTATTCAGCTTGGTGGGTATTAGTTGGGGGGATTAGAGTTGAGGGTGACTAAGGAATGTAGCTTGTCTGAACATTTTCCATGGTAATAGTGATAGAGTAGCAAGAGACTTGCAACGTTTTGTCTATGGGAAAGCGGGGGTGTTGTAGGTAAAATTTTAATTAATTGACAGGATGACAATGTCTGGCTGCAAAGTGAAAGACACAAACTTCAGCAGGACATTTCAGATGACATTCAACATTATCCAATTTGAAATGATTTCATTTGCGGGAGTTGTATTACATTGTAGGCACTGCAACCAGAAATAAATCCATTTTTTTAAATATCATTATAGATTAAGCATTTCAGATCACAAATAATAAAATTTAAAAAAAAAAATTAAATTTATATAAAATGGTGGAGCTAATTTTATAAAAATTTAATTTTGTCAAATACATTTATAGGATGCTTTAGTACACATCATCAGTGATGTTTCTAGTCGAGATTCATTAGGGGTTTCGGGTCTTTCAACATCATACTCCCTCTCTACAGTGATCCAGCCAATACTGATCGTATATCCACTTGCGTATCTTCCATTAGCTACAGTTTTTTCTATCTATATAACTACACACTGCGACCCCCCCCCATTGGCAATTTATAGCCGACTCCCAGATAACTTCCTGTTCACCAACAATGTTTGCTCTTCCATAAAAAATGAAGCAAACACACACACACACAATTTCTATCTAATAAGTTTGCTATTTAAAACTGATCCTCCTACAGATGCTAAAAGAAATATGTTCAGACAATTTGATTTCCTAAAAAGTAAAAATTTTTGAAATTCATAATCTGGATTAATATATGAAAAAAAAATCTCAAGATTATGATTTTCAATTAAAACATTTTTTTTTTTATTTTACATTTTAAGAAATTATGTGGTATGAGCATATTTTGTTTTGGCTTCCATAGGCGGGAGAGGATTAATTTACAATGAATTTATATTGTAAATTGGACCAACAAACCTACTATCAACTTTTATAAAATTTCATAAAAGAAAATGTTTTTGATATTTTTGATCTACACACTTACATAGTCGTGTATTTTTTTTTTGTTGAGGCAGGACCAGGATTTATCTCAAAAAAAGCAAGGTGGGCCCTGCCTAACAGAGAACTAGTCATAATAATTTGAAAAGGCAAGGTTTTTACAAGGTTGAATGTGCTTCTTGACACCCACCTCAGCCACTCACGGTAGTCCATGTATACCAAGTGTTTTTCTCAAGTCACCATCATCTCTAGGAAGGTTGCCATTCATTGGACACTCCCCTATTCTATAATTATGCAGATAGTAGCAGTAAAAAACTTGTTTTTGGCTGTGTTGCCTCTTGTATAACTCTACCTAAATTTTTACTGTATAATGTTTGGTCTATATAGTAAATATTCATCACTAAATTAAGAGCATTTACAAAAAGGATATTATGTTGAAAATTATTTGTAGTATAAAATAAATGTTTTTTTTTTTATCCTTAGTCTACAGTCTTATTGATGCAGCAATAGATGTCAACTTAGAAATAAGGAAATATGAGATAAGGACTATTTTAAGAAAATAAAAATTGGCTCACCATTTAAAGCCATTTTTTCTTCAATACTTGCCACAATCCGACCTGCAAAAGAAAAATTCATTGTCATAAAAAATCTTTGCTGTATTTAGCTTATTATCATTTGAAAATGTCAGAAGCAAACAAAAAACAATCTTATTGTAGGATAATGGCTATCAAGCTGGAGTATGGATGTTGGAATAGATATTAACTAGACATCAAGGAAACCAGGTGCATCAGGGTACTGACCGGGGGTTACTTGTGGCTGCTAAGTGGGGAAGCACAATGATCTCACACCTTCATGCGGTTTGCAGTTGTGGAAGGATTGGTGATGCATATGGTTATATAAACAACTATACTGCACAGTCTCTCACACATCACTGACATAAAATGTAAGATCAATGTATCAGATCTGGGGTGATTGGGTTTGCATGACAGACTGGCTGACAGTAAATGATGATATTTTGGAGTGAAGATTCAAGTCTTGTGTTAACATGTTGTTGACCCCACCCCAACTTCATTATACATATCATTACTATAAAGTTATGTCTTTGATTCTCACCAAGTGTCTTCATGCAATGACCTTGCATGAAAACTAAGATAAACTTACAAAAAAAGTCCTTAAGTAAGGTTGCAAATAAATACTGGTTTTATTTCATTTGGAGACAGAAATAAATCTGACAATCTGCATTCTTCTAAGATGAATACAGTTCAAATTAGTGCCTCTGAGAAAAATCTCATTAGAAAGTACAAAGTTTATTTTGGTGTCCCTTTCCCTTTTTATTATTCATTTTGTTTTCTGTCATGATCACACAAAATGTAAATGCTGGTCTTATATATATATACATACAATTTTTTAAAATTTCAGGATATTATATATATATATATATATATATATATATATATATATATATATGTATGTATTGTTGTAGCATACCTATGGACAATAATGGGCATATCTCCATTCACATAAACACAGTAGTAAATACTGTATGTTGGTCTGCAGTTGGAGATTCATTGTGGAATTCACTTGACTCACTTCTAGCAGTTGACTACTATGTCTATGTGCCTCTGGCAAATCTTATATGTACTTTTATTGTCCTAAGTATTAACATGCATTACCAACCTTCATTTGATTATTCTATTCAGTGGTCTTGTCTAGGTTGCAACATATATATTTTTGTTATCATTTAACCCCAGGCATAGCAAAACGGTCAATAAGAATCAGGGAGTTAGTGTGAGAGAATATAAGAAAAAGAAAACTTTATTAAGGAGCAAGAACAATAAAAGAACAGAAATTAAGAAGACTGAAGGTAACAAATAACATTGCATTTAAATTTTTAAAGATCAAACTTGAATAGAAAGCAAAAAGCCAGAAGAGAGTTGCACAAGCAAAAAAATCCAAGAAAAGAATCTAACATAGGACAAGTAACCATTTCAACTGTAAAATGATGAGATTTTGCCACCAATCTAGTCCTGCACTTAAATTCTTTTTAAGTACCATAGAGGGGAGTTCATCTGAGCAATTACCATGGAAGTATTTATAGAAAAGGGACAGGGAAGTTATATTATGGTGGTGGGGAAGTGACTGAAGACAAAATGTTAGGTCAGAGTAACCAATAACATTGCAGATTCTTTTTTGGATTTTATCTAGAATCTCTAAATATATAGCAGGTGTATGAGGCCAGATGTGATAGAAATATTCTAAGGTGGAAAAATGTTAGATTTATAAATATGTTAAATAGATCTGGGCAAGAAACATTGTCTAGCAGGACACAGTGAAGCAAATTTCCTAGCAGCAAAGCTAGCAATTGATTCAATATAATCTTTTCATTTCATGTCATTGGAAAACATTAGCCTAAGAAGATGCAATGAGTCACTGTACTGGAGGTTAGCATCAGCCATGCTGATGGAAAGCAGAAATGGTTCTCTCAGATGATTAAAAGAGAGAAATTTAGTTTTGGAGGTGTCAAGATTACCAAGCCATCCCTTACTCTAGTTAACAACAGATTGCAGGTCATTTTTGAGATCAGCTGCCAAAAGAAAAAGCCAACTCTTAACAATATTAACTATGAACAAGGCCATAATGTGCTAACCATATTTGGAAATTAAAAACATCTCTACAATACACTAAAACAAAAAAACATAAAAATATAAACATATGTCCAAAAGGCCATCATTGTACCTCAACACAACAACAAATATTCAAAATGTCCTCTGCTTGCTTCTACAGAAGCATGCACCCATTGAATCATTGACTGGTGGACCCTTTCAAATACTCCCACATAGTGTCAAATGGTTTTGCAGGCCCTCATGATATGCTGATGAAGCATCTCTGCATTATTAATGTTTGCCACATACCCCCACCCTCCATAGAAAAAATGTGCAGGCCATGGTAAACTGATGCTGGTGTCTAGTCCATACTGTACCATCTACCTGCAAATGTTGGTTATATAAATTTGTTATTCCATCACTTCCAAATGTTGCTTCATCCATGAACAAGACTGAAGAGACAAACAATGGATTGGCAGTTTGTACAATAAACCTTTGGCAAATGTTCTCCCATGGAGAGTGATCAGAGGATAGAAAGACCCTACACATGTTGCAAATGATCCAGATACAGGAACTGCTCTTGAAGTACTCTCCATTCAGTACTATGAGATGTACGACATGCTAGGCCCACTTGACATGTGCTGATACCTGCATCATCTTTGACAGCCTGTAGAATGTGTTCTTTGTGGTCAGGTGTATGAGTGGATCTCAGTCTTCCTCAATCCATACTTTGTAGTGCCAAACCATTGATCCACATATGAACAGGCAAGTTACAACTATCAACAAAAGACAAGTTTTAGTGGATCATAACATCTGGTCAAAAACAAGTATATCAGAAATAATAAATGTCTATTTTAAAGCTTCAACAAAAGCATGAACAAATTCTATGAGAATAAATATTGTTGATATAAATAAAATTTAAAATATTACCATATTGTTTTCATTTATAATTATGATTTGGTACTGAAAAGTTCTAAGCCAAACCAACTTACCAAAATCTGAACCAACATCAAATGTTTTGGGGAAGGGCTTTTTTATTGGGCCAAGAACATTTCAGTTTCCCCATCATATACTTATAAAAAAAATTGGCAAACATGGACCTTTGTGCCTGCAAAAGAAACATGTTTCAAAATGATGATTTTTCTATTGATGCCACTATTATTATTTTAAATACATTCACTCTCTTGGCAATGTTTATTTACTATGCATTATTTATTATTTACCATTTTATAAATAACTATGAAAACAAATTTTTTCAATTCATAATTTTATATCAATGAATTATAAAACAAAATTTTATTAAACATATAATTTTCTGGACATAATATTTTTCATCTCATTATTTTATATCACTGATTACTTTTTGTTTTAGTTTTAATTTTATATCTTTGATTTTATTAAAAGTCTAATCAAAAGCAACAAACATTGCTGAGGAAGTAAAATTGGCAAAATTAGTCAATGTTTTAAAACTTATGTGGTTTACATATTTTGATAATTTTGTAATTTTTAAAAAATTTTTGAATAAAAAGATTTCTTTTCACATTTATTTCTTTATAAAATCATAAATAATAAATCTTTATAGAAGGTAAATATTTTTTTTATAATCTTGTAAATAAATATTGCTGAGAGAATAAACATAGTTAAAATGATTAAAAATAATAGATAAAATATTTAAAATGATAGCAGTGTCAATGGCAGGGGTTAGGGTTTAGGGTTATCCTTTTGAAACATTGTTTTTTGTTTGCCAAATTTAAAAACAATCTCCTATCTCCTGGTCACTGAAATTTTGGATAGCAATCTTAGAAACAAAACAAGGCCAGAATCATGAGGTTTTTGTTTCTTGATTGTGATATTCTTCTCTTTAATTGTAATACTGTGTCATTTTGAATGAAATAGTAGTAATTATAGTGAATGAAATAAGAATCTATGGAAATTCCAATGGTCAGAAGTGGGAGGTGCTGCTTTAATGCATATTGTTGTGAATATCTTCAGCTGGGAGATTAATTAGCATTTAATTAAAATTAATAATGCATCTCCAATCTTTTATTACCCAGCAAATTTAATGCAAAATGTGAATATTTTTATATTTAACATTCTGAATCTTAATTTTGTACATGGATCAGATTTTGTCAAAGTTTTTGAAAATCTACTGAATTTGAAATTTCCCTTACTTTTCTGACTAATGAGTTATCAACAATGAGGACATTTCGACAAATGTCCTCATCTTTTTTGTTGTTATACCCCTTGATCTTTTTCATTGATTCAACCATCAGGGAATTTCATACTGAACCCTTTATTCAACTGATGGGACTGTTTTCTGAGTCTGTGTTTACCCAGACCAATTAATCTATGATATCAAGCATGTACCAATTTGATAATTATGATTTGAATTTCTCAGAGTTAAATCTGTAGGCTAGGCAGTGGAAACAGGGTGAACAATAACTGAGTAGTACCAAATAAGAATGAGATATCCCTAGGCATGGACAGTGAAACGAGAACAACCTACTCCCATAGATTAAGGGTTCAGTTTGAAATTCCCGGAAGAAGGCTAGGGTGTGCAGTAGTTGAAAGGTTGTGAAAATAAGAAGATGAGGATATTAGTCCAAATGTAAATATTTATGGTTTATTGGTTTACTTTTTAAAATAAAATGACTAACTTGGGCAACAAATAAGAAAAGAAGTCATTTCACTATTCCAGTCTGACAACTCTGACATGGAAATTTTTTTGGTGGTGGTGGTGGTGGTGGTGGGGCTTTGCAAGAGAAAAGGAAATTTTAATATCATGTGAAGTGTTTCTGTAGTTTACCAGTTTTTAAACCAAAAATAGCTTGATTGTAGATCAGATTACAGGCTGCTTCATCTTCTAACAGTTTGTCTTCATCATCTTGATCAAAACACCATTTATGTAGAAACAATCCTGAAGAAGAAAGAAAAGAAATTTGTAATTAAGAATTAAAAACAAAAACTGCAATAAATTAAATACCAAAATATTGGATGCTGTCAATAATTTCCTTTTTTTTTCATGAACTTTATTCTTAAAAAAATGAAGTACAATTACATATTATTCATTTATCTGCAATAAAGCCACTAAGACGCAAGGATTTACTGAGTGTGAGAGAATATGATAAAAAGAAATCATTATTAAGGAGAGAGAACAATAAAAGAACAGGAATTAAGAATACAAAAGATAACAATTGACATTTTATTTAAATTTTAGAACATCAAAGTTGACGGGAAAGAAAGAAGCCAGAAAAGAGTTCCACAAATGAAAAGTGTGATAGAAAAAACTGTTAGCATAGAACTTACGGTTACATCTAGCAGCCATTTCAACTGTAAAAAGATGAGATTTAGCCGCCAATCTAGTACTGTACTTAAATTTGTAAAATCATAGAGAAAAGTTCATCAGAATTATTATGATTAAAGTATTTATAGAAAAGGCAAAGGGAAGCTACATTATGGTGGTGATAAAAGTGACTGAAGCCGAGATACTAGGTCAGGATCAATAACATTGCAAATTTATCTTTGCATTTTATCAAAAGTCTCTGAATACATATCAGAAGTGCTGGACCATATTTGGCAGCAACATTCTAAGCACAGACAAATGGTAAACTTATAAATATATAGGATAGATTCTGGTGAGAAAAATTGTCCCAGTGAACCAATTTTCTTAGCTGCAGACTTAGCATTTCATTTAATATAATCTTTCCACTTCATGTCAGCTGAAAATGTTAGTCTGAGAAGGCACAATGAGTTACTCCCCTGGAGGTTAGCATCAGCCATATGATATTATCAGGCAGCTCTTCAATATCTTTTGAGTAAAATCCTGTAAGTTTTTGACCAACTCTTGAATCAGGTTTTTCTAAGAGAAAGTTTTCCCCAACAAAGCATTTTGCAGTGGTCAAAAAATGTAATCAGTTGTTACAAAGTATGGTGTGCAAGAGAGAGAACAGACCAACAGAACTGCAAAATGTTTGTCCTGTGTTATTCTTGTAGTATGCAACTTTGTGTTGCCATGGAGGAGAATATTTTACCTATTGATAGACACAGCATGCTTTTTGATCAAACTTTTATGGATATATTACAACTACTGGATATAAATGTGAATTTAGTATTTCATTGTGTTTTAAGAACTCTAAATGAACAACATTCAGACAATCTCATAACATTTCTTCAATGGAGCTCAGCTTTCAGGGTCAGTTGTGGAGATTTATCTTTGTTAATCCACTGCTTTTGCAATGAACATTGTTGTATGTAACCCATTATTCATCTTCCATTATGATATATTTAAGAAATGGTTAGCTAGGATGATACATTGTTTAGCTGTTTTTGTTTAGCATCATATCAACAACTCTATGGGTTTTTTCTGAAATCTAAATATTTTGTATGCAATTTTTTTTGAGATAATAATGGTTTTAGTGATACATTTCTTACTAATTAATCCATAGCTGGCGGGGAGAGAAAAGGTGGATTCATACCTTTCCCAAGAGTATGTGTGTAAGGGAATATAACAAGCCTAACTAGAATTAGAACTCGGCTCTCAGATTAACAATTCTGAGTCATTATCCATTACATGCCTTGTACATCCTAGCTTACAGTATTTGGTGTTCCCAAGCAGTCACCTAGAGAGCATTGTTTACCCACCCAGTTTTGGAAGAGAGCTTTGCTTACCCATCCATTTTTGGAAGAGAGCTTTGCTTACCCACCCAGTTTTGGCAGAGAAGTTTGCTTACCCACCCAGTTTGGGGAGAATGGTTTTTTTGCTCACCTAATTTTCATAGGGTAGTTTGCTTACTCATCCAGTTTTGGGAGAGTAATTTGTTTACTCATCGAATTTCTTCTCTGATTACCAAAGTGACATGCTAATTAGAAATTTTTTTGTAGGCAGAAAACAAGAAGAAATGGATTCATGCCTTTCCCAAGGCAGAATTTGAACTTGGGTTCACTGTTTTTTTTCTTCCATATTAACAACTCTAATACTGCCCAAATGCACATCATAACTACCAGTTGGCAAATATTCAAATTAAAGATATTTACCAAATATGGCATAATCTGCCACAACACCAAACAGATGGAAATTGGGGTAAGAAGATCATGTTGTGCCAAGTGTGGTTGCCAACATTCAACAACTTCACTTTTATCAGCAGGGTTTGGACCAACAGCAGGAAATATACAACTATCTTGAGCAGGTTACATAATGATTATAAGATTCACTTAAAACATTTTAATTTGATAAAAGGAGATTTATATCTTCACAAAGGAAACAAAATAAAAATTTATACAATATTACTATTATTATTATTATTATTGATAAATATTTTTCCAATGATAAACATTAAAAAGAAAATTTGTGACAAAGCTGTAGTTTTATTTATTCTATTCACACAAATGGACACTTTTTTCTAACAAAGAATTCAAGATTTAAAATCTGGTAAAGATTTTGCAACAGATCTTAAATGTAACATGATATAAGTAACAAAAATAAAACTGAGAAGAAATTCTATTTAGTGTCTGCTTCACATCCGACTGGAGGTGATTCATGTAAGTTACAAAATTATTTTTAGAGACAGATTTTGAAATTGCCTTCTATGCTATAAAATATAGTACATAATGAAAATTTTTCAGGTAAGACTAAGATGAATAGTGGCTTGAAATGAGAAATCAGAGAGAGCTGAATTCCAGTTTGTTATATTCACTTATGCGGAAATACCCTTTGGAAGGTATGAATACATGTCCCCAACCTCAAATATGGATAATCAGGATAAACTGGATCTTATGGCCTTGTTTGGTAACAAGTCTATTGCAAAAAGTAATGGCAGTCTACTGTGGAAATTCTTCTGCCAAGTCAGTCATGAATTGATACATGATCACCCAAGTGTGTATGGAATCAAATACGTAACAGACACACATAATTGCATTTGTTGTTTAGGTTTGTTTTTTCCACATGAAATGTTAAATGCATTTAGAATGAATTCTTTTTTTTTTCTGATACAGGTCAAATACAAACGAGATAACCTAGGAATCTTTTCCTTCGGTTTGAGTGACAATTGATATAGTTACCTTTGCTATTTGAAGACATCTTCACTTTATCCGTCTGTTTCAGCTTCCGACTAGGACGTGACTTACCTTCCATGATGGCAAAATAGGGACGACATTTTTCACTGACACCTACAAAAGAATTTAGGTTATATCAGTTATTGTTTTTTATTTAATACATACTTAATGAATTAACGATGACAGAATTGTAGAGAAATGTTATGTTTTTGTTTCTGATTCCACATTTAGAAGATTGTAAATTGGTCAATAATTTTTGTTTTGCCAAAAAAGGAATAAATCCAGCTTGATTATTAGAAATTACATATTGACTCACTTGAGGCAAGTGTACCTGTACCTGTTGCAGCATTCCCCTGGTCAGTTGAGCTGGCTCTGTCAAACAAATCTACCGCATTTGGATGAAAGCTGACCAAGCATAGCAGAAGTTGTATTCACAAGTGGTCCCCAGGCGCATGTATACACACTTTTAGGATAATGCAATTCAGTTTAAATTCAGAGTTTCCTTCTCCTAGACTGTTGCCACCCAAAGCTATAAGACCCAGTCTGTACGGCTGTTTTACCCATAGCTGGAGGGAGAAGAGATGGATTTATACCTTCCCCAAGGGTATTAACACCTAAATGAATGTAATGAACTTGACCAGAATTCAAACTCTATTCTTCGATTCCTTAATCCATGCTGCTAACCATCATCCCACTGTACCTCAAGGCAAGTGCTTAAAAGCTGTTTCTGTTTCATTTGCAGTCAGTGTGAATATTACCTAAAATTTATTAACAGAGTTCAGAGAGTTGTTAGTAAGAATGTGTTATGGAGATGTGTGGGGATTAGTCCACCTTGTCTGCCAATATTTATGCTAGATTTTGTTCTATTGGCAGGCTAAAAAAACGAACAGGCATAAATACCTTCACTTTTCTCTTTTTAGTCATTCTAAAATCAGCTACATTTTATAAATGAAAATAAGTTCTTTTTCACTGGACTTTCTCTGCATTTTTTAAATGCATCTTATACTCCCAATCGATCTATGCACAAAGGATTATGCTATGTACAATTCTCCCAATGTGCGGAATCTGTTTCTTTTGAAATTTCTTAGCCTCTTCATCACAATTCTTTAACAACTGCATTTGTTACAAAGCAGCACCTCTCACTGCAAACTTATCTGAGTTAGTATGTGTTAGAGTATTAACCAATGGGATCAGTAAAAAAAAAAAAAGTGTGTGTGCTAACAATAAGTTTAATTGCAAATCCATGTTTGAAAAGTCCAAAAGGCAAAGTGGATCATAAACAGTCCAGTAGGCAAATTAATACTGAAAATGGGGTAAAAAAATCCAACTTTTCACTTTCAACAGAGGAAATGAACTTTCATTTACCAAGTTCAAAAATCATTCTCTTCTCTCGTTAATCAAAGCAATGGCTTTTATTCACAAAGCAATTTTTCTAATTAGCCTCATCAGTCAGTGAAGAAAGAATATTAGCATAGTTCTTCTGATACTTAAAGTGGCCGGTTTTTGTTAACAATTTTCTTTATTTTTCCTTTGGCAGACCACACACACAAAACAAACTCTTTTTCAAGGTAAGTGATTTTCTCTATTGTTGCAGTAGGAAAAAGTCAGCGGTCACTATGACTCATGATGCTGTTAAATAAAGGAGAGTTTTAACTTAATATCCATGGCTGTTATACAATAAACTATGACTATAATTACTGTCAATTAATAATATTCAATTAACATAAAAATTAGTGGTGCTAAATAATCACAAGAATGACTTCTATGCTTCTTGCTAAATGGGAGAATATGATTTATAAATTTCTATGAATCAGGCCAATGCTAGGTAATTCAATGACAAACTGGAAAAATATGTAACAGGTTTCATCCACTAGAACAGGGGTTCCCAAACTTTTTTGCATCATCACCCTCTTTCACATGGAAAATCTTTAAAATAAATATTCAAGAGCATACCAAAATTGTTTGATAAAAGTTTGTTACTGGTTTGTAAACTGACTTTATGATGTAGTAAAAAAAAAATACCAAAGGGAGGTAACAAATAATGCTGATATATGGTGGCTGCTGCTGCTAATACCATATTAAAGAACAAATGAAAACAAACTTGAAAACTATATATAATTTAGTTTTATGGTTAAGGTTAGCGTGGTAAGTGTTGAAAAAAAATTAATTTTTGTTCATAATTACAAAATTAAAAAAGAATACATACTACTTTGTTAATGCCCCTTCTCAAAACTATAGAAAATACCAGAATATTCCTTGTTTGTGGTGAGTATTTATATTTTATTTCGGAATATGATCCACTTATTCCCAGTTAGCCTCCTGTTGTTTTTTTTTTGTTTTTGTTTTTTTTATACAAGTATTTTGCATTTCTCCTTTGAATACGAACAATTACAATAAGGTTCTTGAATTGGGGTGCTGAATATAATATCAATCAGGTAAGTAAGAAATTTTAGATTTTGTATTAATCCTATTGAATATTTTTTTATTTGGGGGCAGGATATGTTGTAATACCTTTTTTAATACTCAAAATCCTATATCAACCATCAATATTTCCAATTGTCCACCATTTTTTGTTCAGTTACTGTTACTCATCACCCCCCCCCAACAGTTGAAATTGCCTACTGGTGAGCAGCATCACCCAAGTAATATTTATTTTCATATATATAATTCCACCAACAATATTATTTTATTTTGATGAAGTCCTTTTAGAGGACAAAACATGTTACATAGAATTTTTCTATTTTGTCAATTAATTTCCTGCTAAATGTAAAGTAGTACAAATTAGGATGACACGTGCTAAGGGTTAAGTAAGGTGACTTAAGGTTACAAAAGAGACAATATGTAAATTCTTTGTCAACTTAAAAATAAAAGACACTTCCTGAATGAAAATTAGTATATTCTGATTCCACTGACTGAAACTAAAAAAGATTATGTACCTAAAAGAAAGAATCAATTCAATGATAGCATTATTTAAACTTAATCTTCTTTTATGTGTCATGTCCTTTCAGGACTTGGGTGATTATGGCTCTCTAAGGTTCCTATCTTTTGTAACTCTTAACAATGTTTATCCCCTCTAATCCCCCTATCCCAATCCCTAATCTACCATTCATTTACACAATCTCGTTAGAAAGGTTTTCGTTTCTCTCTGCTTTTCAAGCCTTCAGTATGTCCTGTGACTGCCAAATTTTCATAGCCTTCTTTCAACATTATGTGTCTCAGAATTTTCAACTTTGTGTCTCTTTTGTTTCCATTTTCCTTAAAACTTCCTTGTTACTTTCATACTTCATCCATGGTATTTTTAGCACCCTTCTGTAGAACCACATTTCAAGTCACCTCTTCTTCTCTGAGGAAATTATTCCATAATCAATGCTATATAAAAGGATTGATATTACATAGCAATTCAGCTCTCTTTTCTTTGTTTCTAATGAAATTTCGCTGTTTCTTGATGCAATATTTTATATTTAAGCAAATCTTTTAGTAAGGGCATAGCATAAGACAACAAAATGTTGTTTTTAAAAAAATTCTCTTTAATAACAAATTATTTAAACATGCAAATCCTGAAATTATGAATACATTTTGATAAAGTTCCTTATTAGGAAGAATAAAATTCTTTGCAGTTAAAATTGTTCAAAGTTATTGATATGTATTACTGATGTTTGTTATTTGTTGTTGGATGAAAATTTTTTTTTTATAGACATATTATGACAAAGTGGAAAAAGTTTTTGCATGATGCATTTTAAAGTGATGTTTATGTTGATGAGACTCCATATGTGCATGAAGGAGAGAAGATGTTGAGAATTTAAATTATTTTTTTTCAAATACCATACATACTCATGTATCATGTGTACTTTGAAGACCTAATTCTGAAACTAATTTGACTACAGTAAAAGGATATGATAGTTTGGTCAACATCATAGGGCCAGCAGTGCATATACTAATTTTACATCTTGTGTATGATGCAACACCCTTAAATTTAGCTTCAAAATTAGGTCTTCAAAAGTTGCATGATATGTGAGTATATACAGTATATGTTTTGGGTGAATAGTCTAGTTGATTTCATTTTTTAAAGAGATATATAACATGTGCAGGTTTTTGCATATGTAACAAAAAGGTGGCTTTTTAAACATGATTTCTTTCTTTCACAGTCAAAAGTGCAAAGTAACTTTTTTGAATACTTCTCTTTCTTAATGCCTACACAAATGTAGAATACCAATTTGGTGCAACTTCTAGTGGGTAAGTAATGAATTTTTCAAAATTAAAGTGGATTATACAAATCACTTACACAAGTTGAAACTTGACAAGAACTTGTATCAATGATAATTATCAATGTGAGAATTTGATAATTCTTGCTAGCTGTTAAAATATTAAAATTGCAGAAAAATAATAAAAAAAAAATCTCACTCACTAATCACAAAGCAAAGTAGATGAGTCATAGTCAAAAGCAAGTGTTGGAAGCAAAGATTTTCAAAGTGTTCAAAGTAAGATCTATAATTGCTCCGGAAATTATTACTGAGACATGAATGTTGATTTTAGGATTCTCTTGAGATAAACCCTTTCAAACCTGTTTGAATAAAAAAAATATGGCTCCAGAAATTATTACTGAGCCTTTTTATCATTTCACCCAGGCAAAGGAGTAAAGCCACTAGGACACAAGATTTTACTGAGAGTGAAAGAAACAGACAAGGTAAAAACAGGATCCAAAAAGACAAAAGATGATGATTAACATTGCATTTAAATTTTTGAAGCTCAGGATAGCATGAAGCTGGAAGAGTTCCACAAGCAAGACATGCAAGAGAAGAAACAATTAGCATACAACTTATGGTGACAACTATCAATTTCAACGGTGGAATAATGAGACCTATCTGCCAATCTAGTACTGCATTAAAATTTATGAAGTCAAGATACTGAGGAGGAAATCTCATCAGAACAATTGCTGTCAAAATATTGGTATGGAAGAAACAAAGGGAAGCAAACTTTATGGTGGTGGGAAAGTGAGTGAAGCTGAGATGCAAGATCAGGTCTGATAATATTGCTGAGTCTTCTTTTGTCAAGAATCTCTAAATACATAACAGAAGCACAACGTTTCAGCCGTTGTACGCTCCGGCCTATCTTCAGGTGGTTGGAATTTCGAACTGAACCCTTTATTTCGATCACTGGGGTAAACTGTTCTAGTTCCACATGCCATGTTTGATGGATGTCAGTTATTAATTATCTCTTATCTCCTGCTAATTTTCCCTCTGAAAGTTCTCCACTGCCTTAACCAGGAATTGAACTCACCTTCTTTGGGTCTGTCACTGGATCTAACCAACGCCTTTATCCACTGTGCCATGTGTCCTTGAGGACACATGGCACATGAACTATGAACTTCTGAGTATTATAAACCTAATGTTTTCAGCATCATTTTTACCAGTGCTCATATTGCAATTTTTGCTGTTATCATTGCATGTTTTTACCAGAGTTCATATTGCAACTTTGTTATCATTGCTTTTCTCTGGCACTCCTTATTACTGGTTCCCATATTGTATTTATTTCTATGCTTGGTCGGCTCAGGAGATTTTTGTGGCCTAGCATATGTGCTGATTCCTTAAGTTTACGAATTTTCCAATGGTGTTCCCTGTCTATGATCTCAACATGATCCCACAGGGGGCGGTGATCTCCCTTCTCTCTCCATATGTGGTCAGCCACGCCTGATTTTTCTACTTCCCCTCGCGTTACAGCTTTCTGGTGTTCTTGAAGCCTTACCTTGAGTGAGCGGCCTGTCTCTCCTTTATATTCCTTTCCGCAGCTGCACGGGATAGCGTACACACAGTCTTTAGTCATGTTCCTCTCTGTGGGGGGTCTCACTCATGAGAGATACCTGTGAAGTGTTGTCACGCTTTTGAAGGTTGTCCTGATGTTATATGGACCGCAGATCCTTTGTGTTTTCTCTGATAACCCCTTCACATAAGGCAGGCAGACTGTTTTCTGAGTGTTGTTGTCCTCCTCCTCCTCCTCTTGTACCCACCTATCCCAGTTTTTGGGGGCTGCTGCCATGTACCCAGGGTAGTTGTTACATTGTAGGGTACTACTTATACTGACCAATTCCTTATCTAATGTCTCTGGATTCAGTTTGAAATTCCAACCACCTGAAGAAGGTCGGAGCGTACAACGGCTGAAACGTTGTGACAAATATGGCGACAAAGATGAGGACAATAGTCCGACTAATGTAAATACTGTACATAATACCTCATCTCAGAAATATAGACAGACTTCCTTAGAGTTAGTTCATATATTTTAATAATTTAGTAAATTTTCATATTTATTTCTTTATAAATTGTTAAATGATAAATATTGCATTTCATTAGTTTTAATACAATTGGATTAGTTTTTAGAATGTTGTAAATATAAAATTATTCTTGTAAACAAACAGTGGTTAATATTTTTGTTTTAAATTCTCAAGAACAAAAAAAGTGTATAAATTCACTTTCATCATGTTTAGTCTTTATTAACATTCTAATCATCGCTTTTTAAAATAATAAACATTGCCGAAGAATGAATGCCAGAATTGTTTATTAACAATATTGTTAGATGATGATGATGTTCCTGACAGAGACATTGTAGGGAAAATATGCAACAGGGAGGCAAAAAACTTTATTGTTGAAGAAATTAAAATCAACAGTAATAAATAAATCAATAGGTGGGGTTGTGAATTGGAGAAATGGTTTGGGTAAGACAAAATGGATTGTGGAGATAATGAGATAAAAGGGGAATGCTATTCAGATTATGCCTTTCACCTCTTTATAGTAGGCAACTTCAGGTCAAAATGAGAGAAAACTCAGTTTTCCGGATCTTGACTATCAAAGCAGAGAGGCTTTCTTTATATGGCATTAAATATACCTGAATATTTTACTGTGACAACATATCAACAATATCATCTGCTTCAGAACAAAATCATTTCTTGCACAATATCTCATAAGCCAATCCCAAGTAGTTTAAAGAAAAAAATATTAGAAGCCACAACAAAGGGACAATTCTATATTTTACTGTTGATTACCTTAGAATCTTATGCTGTTTTGCCATCATTCCCATTCTCTGTTCAGCCAGCCATTTACACCAGCTCATTAAGTAGGTTACTCATTGGTTCCCTCTGTCCAGTGGTAGCATCCTACCAGTTTGTGTGAGCTGAGTCTTAAAATTTTTAAAACCTTAGCAAACTGGTTGTTGGATTATCCAGAAATAATCTTATATATTAATAGCCGATGGTCTAGGTAAAATGTTAGTTATGTTAAGCTCACGCCTAGTAAAACTTCAATAAGTTTTGAAGTTAGAAATGTGACAAATTTTCTAGTCATTAATTTGATAGGTCTTCCATTGGATCTTTGGCACTGCCATGATTCATTTCAAATGTGGCTAAGAAACCATAACAGAACTGATGACGGTGGAATCAAAAAGCATCATACTTCTGAACGGAAATATGAGAACAGAATTTCAATCCAGAAATATCTTATTAAATAAATGTTTTCCAAAATCTTTTAATTATTTTTGATATTATTTAAAATGATTTGTTTGCATTCACAGATTGAAAAGAAAATAAGAAGAATAAGTTCCTAAAGATTATCTGTCTTTATAAAACCAGTTCCTGGAAATTTTGGATGCTAACCATTGCTTTTGTAGCACTTGCATCAATATGTCTTATGAGTGTCAAACTTTCCTAGACCTCTTTCATTTCAGATGTCTCTTTCTAATTTTAAGTCATACAAATATATTCTTGTTCTAAAGGCGTTGTCAGTATAACAATTTCAATAATTTTATTAATTAGCACATTTTATTTAAGGTTAAGAAATTGTTTTTGCATTGCAAGTGACAGAGCTAAGGAACTACCTGCCAGTAATAAGGATTGCTGAAAAAGGTTCTTTGATTTTTATAAGAATTACCTTTAAATTTTTCAAGACCTGATCTTATCAAATCAGTCAGCTCAGAGATTTTACTCCTTTTTGCCAGCATCATGTCATTTGATGTCCCTTATCACATGTGCTACTTATAAGAGGTGTTGGACAATAACAACTCCACTAGAAATGCCATGAAGAGGACCTAGCAAGGCCTCTGGCAATCAATGAGATCATGGTAGAAGTTAATTTTCTTTTAAATAAAAATATTTCTTACCAAGTTGATCCAATACTTTTTTGTGTAGGTCTCCTATAAGTACTTGATCGTCAATAATACGCAATACAACCTGATGAGGGAAGAAATGTAAAATATTAAAACTCAATTGTATAAAAACAATTTTTATTTATATTCTTTGAAGCAAAATTATTTCCTTTGAACCTTAAAAAAATCAGATGAAAAAAAAATTATATATATATATATAGATAGATAGATTTTGTAACAAATGGAAAATGTCACAATATCTTTATAGCCTACATTAGTAAAAAAAAAAAAAAGAAAGAAAGAAAAAGTGAAACAACCTGAATTAAACAGTCAGCAACCACCTCCTAATTTATTCTCATTGATTTGTTTTCTACAACTTATCAACCCTTTGCAGGTTATTTAAAACCAGAAAATATTTTTAGATTATAAGAATTTTGTGGGGAGAATATAATATTTTTACTGATACAAATCTTACTAATTAACCCATAGCTGGGGGAGAAGAGGTGGATTCATGCTTTTTCTAAGGATATTTGTGCATAAGTGAATATAACGAACCCAAGTGGAACTGGAACTCGGCTTTCCGATTAACAACTCCGAACCATTATCCATTATACCAACCACACATTTAAGCTAACAGCACCTGGTATTCCCAAGTGGTCACCCATCTTGGTACTAACCATACCCAATGTTGCTTAACTTTGCTGATTGTACAGGAACTGATGTTTCAATGTAATGTGGCCATAAACTCTATTTTATTTGAAGGAAAGTTTCAAATTTAGACTTGAAAATTATATTAATTTAAAATTAAACTTCTTAAACACTTTTATTATCTGAAAGCCAATATTACTATTTTTTTAATCTTTTGGCTTTTGTCAAGTTAGACACAAATCTTACTTGGATTCAAACCTCTGAGCTGAGAGCAAACAGGCAAGAAACATACCAATAATCTAGCATATTGCTACTAAAATAGTCAGGTAAAATCAGCTTTGGAATATTAACTCATAGTTGGTGTTTTTTAAATTTTTGTAATTATTTCAATGAATTCCCTATATTTATTCTTTTTGATTTTAAAGAAATAAAGAATTTATTTGAACAAAGTATCTATAACCAAAAAACAAAATGTTTTTTGTTGTTTTTTTTTATTATCCTCTGCCAGCCTCAATGATTCAGAAAGCATTACCTCACATCATCACCAGTGAGGCATGCTGTAAAAAGCCACTCAGTTTTGCAAGGCTCATCCCTTAATCAAGATGCATTGAATGCCATTCAGCAAGGGCCAATAACTCCTGAAGTCTCCACTGCCACTGGAGTAAAAATAAATCTGTCCGCAAGAGAAGAATATTTAACTATTTTTTTGATCTCCGTGTCCCGTGTGACAGACCCCGGCTCAACTGCAGACCTGATCAAATTACCAGTCGAAAATGTATCAGCACAGGTCGCATCCCAAATCAACAATTTCCCCTTCTTTAAAAGGGAAAATGGTAATCCCAGCCAGTTGTTTTCTATCACCTTGTTCGAGGCCTACGGGTTCGATTTGGGAAGGAAACCCTGCTACATCCAGACCTCTTTTGATGTCGTTTATTACTGCATATCTTGGAAAGTGGCCAGCTCTGTAACGACAGGAGAGAGGATGCAAACTAAACTCATCAATGGAAGCTCAACATCTGCATCTATGACACTTAAATTCTTTTGCAAATGATATTTGGTATATTACACTGGTTTAAAACAATGAAAACTAATAAACTTTGAATTTTTATTAGATTTTAACAAGACAGCCATATGAATGAGATATTTTTATATAAACTGAAACTGGGGAAAATATATGACAAATTGGAAAAAGTTTACTTGTGACATATTTTGTCCTTTAGGACTTCATCGAACTAAATTTCTTATGTTGGTGCCACAATACATGTACATGGACGAGGAGTGCGAGAAATTTTAAATTTAATTTTTAGTTTTTTATAATCTAGCCAGTTTCACTTAGATTTGTTTTCTTTTTGTTTCCCTCACTTTTGTTATTGGATATTTTCCACACTGTGGTACACAGAAGATCTGCCAGCAATGATGATATGTTGTATAGAGCCAGGACACAAATTTGTTCTAGATGACCTTGCAATCTCTAAAGAATATAAACTGAAAATAAAACATCCTGGGTATGATGATAAACTACATCTAACTGCAAGGCTTCTGATCTGGAGGTTTTAAGGAGTATGGAATCACCTTTTAATTGCTGTTGATCCCAGGTTCACCTTGACCTGGGGTGGTAGCACCTGTCAGGGTCCCAGCTAAGGGAAAATAGTTAACTTCCAAACTGGGGTCATGCACTATAAAGCTATAAAAATAGATTTTTATAGTAAAAATATTAGCAATACACTTAAAAAAAAAATTATTAGCTGCAAAATTAAATTTTGGCATTAAATGACCCATAAGGAGTTGATATGCTGCTAAACAAATGAACAAACAATCAAATCTATTCTAAAAATCTTGTTGACATTAAATAACTCATTGCGGTTGATATGCTGTAAAACAAAATAAACCCAAACACTGAAAGTAAATATCAATAAATTGAACAAAATTAAAAAGAATCTCCTGTCTGAATAGAAAGGTTCCAGGAAAATTAAAAAATACAAATAAAACATTTTTAAAATTTTGAAAAAAAATAATTAAATCCATTGAATTTAAAATGTACAGATGGAAGATTACAAAGGAAAGGGTAAATTCAATGAATCAGGTTTCTTTTCAAATAATGTTCATCTTTTATTGCAATAAATTGCTGTTTATAATAGAATTTTATCTAATGATAATAAATAACAAAAAAGATGAATAGTGCTTTTAAGGAAAGCAGTCCTTGTAATTAGAGTGCTTGTGGAAGGTTTAGTGGATGAAAATTCGTCCGTGTGAAAACTCATGCACAAAGAAAGATTAAAAGAAAAAAGAGATAGCAAAGAAAGTGTAAAACCAAAATTTTTATATTCCATAAATTGTTGAGGTTCTTTAAAAAAAGTTGTTTCTCTTTATTTTTAGTCCAGCTTCTTCTGAAGATGGTTTTTCTTACAACAGGAAATCGACTAGACACAGGAAGATTTCTTAATGACTTATCACTTCAACAAGGACTGTTACATCATCAAACTACGATTCAAACACTTAAGGCAGCGGGTAAATAATCACTATCACACAGACTGACTACTTGATACATTGTCCTGCACATGGTGCAGAGATGTAGCAGTAGATAAAATTGCATACTAATATTTGACAGAGAAATGCTAGGCTCCATAAAGAAGTGTGTTACTTGAAGGGAAGGATATAAATTTTCTAATAACTTAATAATTACATATGCTTAAAAAATGAACTTTTGCAGATTAATAATTTAATATATGATTTTAATCAATGTAATTTGTGTCATTTTTATTTTTTCCATTAATTATAATTAAATTTTATTTCAAATTAAGTTTTATGCTAAAAGTTTCTTCTCATGTACTTATCACAATGTCAATCATTATTTTGTGAATTTCTGTTCTTTTATTGTAATATTTTCTTTTTCTCATAGTCTGTCACACTCAGTAAACAATGTTTCTTAGTGGCTTTATTGCCTTGCATGGGATGAAATGATTTAAAAAGAATGTGTTCTAATATGCCTGCCATGATTTGATTCTTTACAATTTGTTTTGTAAAACTTTCAACAAATCTTAATTTCATTTTTTTTCAAAACCTCAATATTAAAACAGAATATTAATAGCAAAGAAATGAATTTTATGAACATTTTATTTAATAAAATGTTCAAAATTTATTCCCTCGACTCAGAGTTATACAATTTAATTAAATTTAACTATCTAAGCCTCTGAAGAGTGGATACTATCTACAAATCTTTGAATTGGGAAGATAAGTTTTGAAAATTTTAACTGTTTAAAAATGTTTACTACCAGAATTTTGTTACCCATTTTTTTTTTACGGATTCCATGCAAGTTTTATTAAAATTAAATAAAAATTTTTAACGTATATGTTTTTTCTAAAAATAAAATCTAAATTATTTTCATATAAAATTTATTATCTGGATATCTTTTCATATCTTCATCACATTTTGAAGTTTATTGATATATATATTCAGTTTTTAGATTATCTGTCGCCACTTTTTAAATTAATTTTCCAACTTCACAAATAGATTTAGCAGTCTTAAGAAAAAGAACAATTAAAAAAAAACTTTAAATATCACATTAACTTTATGTCACCAGTGACAGATAACAAACAAACAAGTACCTAATTTTGTATAGGAAAAGATAAGAAATAATAAAAAAAGAACATTAATTAAAATTTTTTTTTTGTTAAATTGAAAACGAAACCAAACCATCAGATGTTCCCATTTTTACTGACAGAATACAAAAAATAATCGGATTTTTAAATTTTATTTATTTTAGGATATTACACCGAAAAGAACATGTAAAAATCGCTACACAATTACGGCCGTGTTTCGATTCTCATCTTACCTGGACGGATATATGAAATTAAAAAAGAATATAATTAGAGAGCCTTAAAAAAAGACGAGAGTATTTGAATATCCCAAAAAGAGTTAAACAATATATCTAAAAATCAAGAGAAATACTACTAAATGAAAAGAGTGGCATACTTTTCCAAACTGGAAAATTAGTGCAACACAATCTTCCTTTGACCTTGTGACATACAAAGGGAGGAAGAGGAGGAGGAGGAGAGTTTTGGGCGTGGCGGTGGGTGACGGTGTTGATTTATTTTAGACCAGCGAATTCAACTGGTGTTAAGGGCAAAGTTTGTTTTTTTTTTTAAATGAGTGACTATTAAATTTTTTTTTTTTTTTTGTATTTTTAAAAACAGTCCTTTGATGAATTTGATGAGAAATGATTGATTCTTGTCGACAAAATCGATCTGGACGACAGAAAGAAGAACGGATTCCCGTCTCTCATATCAACAAAGTCATGAAAATGAGGGGGAAAAAAAAAAAAGAATTTCTTAATTCGTAAAAAATAAGTATAAATAAAGCAGCTTTTTTTTAATTTTTATTTTTTTAAGTCAAAAGTCAAAACAACAAAAAAACCTTTTCTGTCAGATCAAAATGATAATAAATTGTAATTGAGACTTTTGTATTCATCTGTAATGTCAAACAATTTTTAGAAAAATAAATTTAAAAATTTATACTTAAACGGAAATATGACGATTTGATTTTCTGTGTGGGGCTTAAAAACAAATTTACGGAACTAATTTATTTCATTTTAAAACAGAATTAAAAAAAAAATAACACATTGAATATTGATTGATTTATATCAATTTTCCCCCTATTTTTCCTTTCGTGTGGTAGATTAAATAATTTAAGAAAACAGGAGATTATTATCAAGTTGGAAACAATGTTTGTTTATTAGTGTTTTTTTTTTTTTAGTTTATGACATTCAATAAACTTGGAAAATCCAAACAATTTTTTTTATTTTTCGTTGAAGATTAATTTTTTCTTTTAAATCCTACAATAAATATTTTCCATATTTTTTCGTTGGTGGGGGGTATTTTAAAATAATTAAATAAGCAGTTATTAAATAATTAAAGTCGCAAAAATAATTTTGGTAAAGAAAATACAATGCCGACTGAGAAGAAGAAAGTGAAGCACTTGTCATTATTGAAGTTGTCTTTTGACAACAACCACAAAAAAAAAAAAAAAACGAAGAGAAGACTAAAAAACAAAAAAATGAAATGGCAACAAGAAGTGATGATTAATAGATAAAGTTTCATTGTTTGACAAATGACAGGTGGTAATTTTAATGGCAGATGTCGTTTTTGGTTAAAGGAAAAATCAAAAAACAAGGAAGAAGCACCTGTTGCTTTTTTTGTTTCTTTTTTTCATGGATTTTTTTTTTAATGTTCTCCTTTTTCAACAACAACATTGACACATTTTCGTGCGACTGACGCTTGAAAAGGAAACTAATATAAAAACAATTATATATTTTCTTTTGACATTATACAAAATAAATAAACAAAAACAGTGGATGACATTAAAATAGGATTTAAAACAAAAGCAACAAGTTTAATTTACCGAAATATTGTGTTTTCCATCATCGCCGAAATATCCGACCGAAACAGACGTTAAGCTATCCAACTCCATTATCAAAGGGAGATAACTCCAAAAAATTCGGAAATTATGGGATAAGTAGGTCAATAATTTTTCGTTTTACTAGGTCAAAACAGGCACAAGGCCAGTTAAACTAAAAAGTAGTGAGTTCTTTTTTTTTCTAACTTTGAGAGATATTCTCTTAAATTATTTATTTTTCTTTAATACATAATCTGTAGGAATAGTTAATAAATTTTTCAACTTAATACATTGAGAAGGTGGTCTTTCTTGTTACTATTTCTTTCTTTTTTAATATTATATAAATATTATTAAAGGCTGTAAAATTATAGGTCACTTCAATGTTAATAGTGGTTCAAAGAAAATGTAGGGAATTATGGTAAACTCTTGAACAAGACATATTTTGGTATGGCACAGATCATAATAAACAAGTTTTAAGCTAAAGTTTATATTCATGAAAGATATTCCTTCATATTCTCCAAAGCTGACTCTCACCTATCTGCAGCCCCACCAAAGGGTTCAAAGACACTAAATTAGTGGAATGTACCTCCCAATTGTTTTCAGATATTAATCCAATAAAAAACTTCTGGTCTATCATTAAAAGAGATTTGTATGTATGGTAGTTGTTTCCTTATAAGGAAACATTTGGCATTCATTGACCAAGTAGCCAGTGCTATTTTCCATTTCAATCAAATCAGTTTTTCAGGAAAATAGATTTTTCAAGTTCACTGTTATCATTTTTTCCAGTATTGATGGGGGCTTCCTTCCTAAACCTTTTGTTTGAAGTAGTGTGGAAGGTCACTATCTTGATTATGTCATCATCTTTCAGTGGCAGTTGCTGCCCCTTTTATTTGTTGCTGTTGTTGAAATTCAAGTGATGTAATTTCTGTTATATGGTAAAGTATGAAAATTGTTTTTAATAAAAAAAATAATATTAAAATTGGATGAGAAAAAATTAAAATTTTGGAATTGTATAAAAATTAATATAAAAATATTTTAATAAAAAAAAAAGATATTATTAAAATTGTATGAAAAACTAAGAAAATTTAGGAATGTTTAAAAATTAATATAAAACTTATTTAAAAAAAACAAAGAGTATTAAATTGTATGAAAAACTTATTAAGAAAATTAGAATGTTGTTAACATGGTTTCTTTGCAAAAAAATGTCAAAATGAAGCTGGATAGTCCATAAAAAAAATATGAATAAAATTTGCTGTGCAAAAAAGGGTCTCCAATAAAAAAAACCCTGCAAAAGGAAGTCAGATGGTTTATAAAAAAGTGAAAAAATATTTGAAAAAAATTTAATGTTATAAAAAATATCAAAATAAAAGCAGATGGTTTAAACATTTTGTAGAAAAAATTTATAAAACATGGGTACTCTTCAATTAACACACTTTAGTATAGAGCTGAGCATTTTTCCTGTTAATTATGCAACACATCAAATCATCAGTACTAGTAGCAGTCAGAGTAACAGGGTGAGTTGAAGTAGTAAGTGGAGTCTCTTTCTCTGTTTAGTTTATTTCCTGTTCTATGAAACCTGTCAAAATTTTGGATTTACATTTTATATGATTTTTTTCTTTTCCTTTCTCTTTGTGGATGAGTTGAATATTTTTACAAGGCCAAATTTTCAACCCCCTTCAACTTTCTACAGGCGCTTAAAACTACATGTATTCTGATGCGGCATGTTCCAAGGAATGTTTTGATAAACAGCTTCTTTCTCTACTCTTTATATAAGCAAAGATATTTTTAAAGTAAAACATATGTAATTAGAGAAAGTAGAAAAAAAAAAAATGAAAAGTGTGAAATGTATTTTTTATCCTGAATTTGTTTATTAATATTAAATGTGCAATATATTTAAACAAATTATAAATGAAACTGCAAAACATCCTGGGTATGACGATGAACTACATCCGGCAACAAGGCCTCTGATAGAGATGTTCTAAAGAGTGTGGAATCACCTCTTACTTGCTGTTGTTCCCAGGTCTACCCTGATCTGGAGTGGTACCACCTATTAAGGGTTCCATTTATGGGCAAATACTTAAACCTGGGGTCAAAACAATATGAAAGTGTAAAAATACATTTTTATAGTGAAAATACCTGCAATGCAAATTCATAGTAAAAAATTAACAGCGAAAAAAAAATATACCAGTAATACACTCTTTTTTTGGTCCTAATAAAATTAAATTTCAGCATTAAATGACCTATAAGGAGTTGATATACTGATAAACAAACATACAAAGTGCAATAGATAGTATTTATTCTGAATATGAACATTACTGGTGTGATTTTAAATAAATGGGAATTTTAATAATTTTCTTTTAAATTGAATAGTATTCTATTAAAAACTGTTTTTAAATGAATATGATGAAGATATAGACTTAACATCACTATATTAATTAATGTCTAGAAAAAGGTTTAATTAATAAGTTTATATAAATTTTCAAATCTACCATTTACTCATGCAATCAGTATTGCTGTCACATCAGATCGGGAGCTTTTGCTATTTATTCAGAGGTTTTTGACAAAAGAAGAGTCTGTCATATTTTCATATTCCTCAAGAAAGAATATTTGTAATAATGATCTTCCAAGAAATAATATTTACAGTAATGATCTACCAAGAAAGAATGTTTGCAATAATGATCTCCCAAAAAATAATATTTACAGTAATGATTGACAAAGAAAGAATATTTGCAATAATGATCTCCCAAAAAATAATATTTACAGTAATAATCTCCCAAGAAAGAATATTTGCAATAATGATCTCCCAAAAAATAATATTTACAGTAATAATCTCCCAAGAAAGAATATTTGCAATAATGATCTCCCAAGAAATAATTTTTACAGTAATGATCTTCCAAGAAATGATATTTGCAAAAATGATCTCACAAGAAAGAATATTTGCAGTCATGATTCCCCATTATAAATAGATATAAATAATGCTAATATTTTAAGCCACTTTTAAATAGAATCTAGGCTATAAAATCAAGTTTGGTTGTAATGTCAAAAGAAAAGCAAAAATATGGAAGATGATTTTTGTAACTGTAAGGAGTTAGTATTGAGATGATGCTAGAGTTTTTGGTAGAAGATTTGGAGTAAGAAGAGTGAAAAATATTTACTGTCAAATGCAATTCATAGTCATTAACTGATAGGTCCTGGAAAGGGATATATTTGTTCGAAATAGCAAAGTGGTTGTTGACTACTGTAACTGAGTAGGACAATCTAGCAGGTAACCGTAATGGACTGGTCCTCGTCGTAGTGGTAGGCAATATGCGTAGGCAATAGACAAAGACAATAGGCGTTGTGCCTGTACCTCCACATCAGTCTGTATTTATGGCTGACACCAGCCAATCATATTACTGTGAGGGGGAACCCAGGTGTATGCATATTCATTACATCATTAACTATTATTAATTTTCATTGAATTAGAAGTAAACTGGTAATTAAATAAAGGATGCCTTTAACAATTCATTTCATATGATGAATATCTGAAGCAGGACCAAGAGTACGATAGTTAAAATGTGACAAAAACATCTAAGATGAGGATTGTTTTCTTCTTCTATGTATTGTGTCACTTCAGGACATAGGCAATTATGGCTCTTCCACAGCTTCCCATACTATTTAGTTATTAGTAGTGTTTGTCTTTTTATTAACCCTCCCACTCACTGTTCCACCATCAATTCACATAAGTTGGTCAGGTAGGTGGTCTGCTGCCTTTCTCTGTCCCTTTGGTGTTTGGTATATCCTGTGAGTGTCAAATCCTCCAAACCCTTCTTCCTCATTATGTGTTCAAGAAATTTCAGCAGTCTCTTTCTTATTCTAAGTATGTATTATTTTTGTTTCCATTTTCATTAAAACTTCCTCGTTGATCACATGTTTCCTCTGTGGTATTCTCAGCATCCTTCTATAGAACCACATATCTGTTGCCTCAAGTCTATTAGGAAATCATCCAGCATTCACTGATATATAGAAGGATTGATATTACGTAACAGTTGAACACTCCTTTCTTTGTTTCTAACGAAAATTTCCTGTCTCTTAGTAAATTTTTTTTTAGATTTTGAAATGCATTTTTTTTCTATTTCAATGCGCGTTCGGATTTTTCGGTGTCGCATTTCCATTTGTTTAAAAACGCTTTCTGTGAACTTAGAAAATGAGGATGCTATTCTGAAAAAAATCATTGAACAATAATTATGAATTCTTATGTAAACTAATAATGCACAAAAGTAAATAAAATATATAATTCTGAATTTAAAGTGATTGTTATGTTAATCGACACAATAATACAAATTATACATTTCGATTTTGTACCAAAAAAGCAAATGTCTATCAAAGGGAGGCAACTCTTATTTACCCATCAAAGATGACTGAATCTGTAGTCTGCTTCTGGAAGGAGGCTTCAGTCTTCATATAGTTTAAGACAAATTACTATATTTTGATTTTTGAGTAGGTATTTCCAAAGATTCGCTAAAAAAATGAGCATGCATAATGAAAAATACCCCAAATTTAATTAAAAAATGTCATAAAATATCTAATTGCACTCAATGTGTGTGTGCGTTTTATTATGCTGAATTGTTACTTGTTAGACTAGAGAGTTTCAGTTATTGAATTATCTGAATTATCATATTATTAATCTTCCGAGAGAAAAAAGATAGTCAAAGGCAGTATGTCTGAATGATTTCCTTTTTCATCAGATATACCTAAAATAACAGTTGTTATGAAATTTTTTTTAAAAAAGGTTCACACTCGAAAATGACATTTTAAACTTTATTTTTGAAGTTCAGTCATTTTCTTTTTTTTAAGCATATCACACCTAGCAAGGCGGGAAGCCACCAGCACGCAAGAGGTTACAGAGGATTTGGAGCGAGAGCAGATAGGAGTGATAGAGGAAAGGATGAGGAGAAGGATAGTGGATAGATCAAGGCAACTGGAAATGTCGATTGACATTACATTTGAATAGTTGGAGATTAAAGCTATTAGGCAAACAGGAGTAGGGAAGAGAGTTCCATAGGCGAGAGGTGCGAGACATGGAGCTATAGGAG